AAGCCAAGCTGCAGACACAGAGTGTTGCCATTTGGGATGAAAGAAACTCTTCCATATTTCTTGGCCCGCTCTCTTAGGAATTGCCTGTCCTTGATCTCAGAGAGCTAGGTAGGGACACAGCTGGAGGAGAAGGGTAGCAGAAGGACTCAATCATGTGGTTCAGATAGATCTTTAGCACCAACACAGTAAGAGTAACACCAGTGATTTGGTAGATTTCAGGTGTTCAGGAGCTGAGATCTCTTAGCTTCTCCCAACCTTAAATAGGAAGAATAAAAGTTGAAAGCCCAGGCTCTGGAAACTATTTAAATTCAGATCTGATTCTGCCAATGACCAGCTGTGTGACTTGGCGCAAACGACCAACTGTGTGACTTGGCACAAATCAGTTGACATCTCTGTGTCTCTGATTCTCTGAACTTCCTGCATCTCTGGGGGGGGGGGGGAGCTGATGATAATAATTTCTATTTCATAGGGTTGTTATAAAGATCGAGTTGAAATATGTAAGATGCGACCTTGCCTGCACCTGCTCCAGAGCCAGGGGTTCTCGAAGCACCCAGTATCCAGTGAGACACGCCGGGCACCAACAGAGCAGACATGGGCAGAGTGATGGTGGCTACGCTTGGGCTGGGGCTGCTGCTGCTAGCACTGCTCCTAACCACACAGATTTATTCAAATCAAACAACTGTCATAACACTTTCAAGTAACTCCTCCCAAAATACCTTGGTTGCCCCAAATCCAGCTAATGCCCGGACCACGGCCGTTGGAAGTGCCCTGCAGTCAGTAGCCAGTTTCCTTGTGATCTTGCTTTCTCTTCTACATCTCTTCTGTTAAGAGACTCAGGCCGAGAAATATCTACACTTCCCCATCTTCTAAACCCAATCCAAATGGTACCTAGAAGTCCAGTGTGGCCAGGAAAAAAACAAATCTTCACTGAATCTACCAATTCCACACCTTATTTTATTGACACAGAAAATGTTGTGAATCCCAAATTTGATTGGTTGAAGAGCATGTGAAGGGCCTGACTAGATGATGAACACCAATATTCAACCTGCTGGAGTTTCATGTACGAGAGGAAAAGACAACACTCGAAATTAGTTAAGACATGATTTCCTTGAATGTGGCTTAAAAAATATGGACGTATAAAATTCTACCTTGAAACTAAGAACAGATCTTATCTCATCTGGAGATAAATGGGATATAGAATGGAAATTCAGTTTTTATTTGGCTCTTTAAATCCATAAGGCCATAAAACAGGTAATATGAAAAATGATTCTACTTATATGTACATTTGAAGGAACTTCCAGGTGTAACCGCAAATCCTCAATGCATCGTTTCAGCAGTACTAATTTAATGCCGATACACTCTAGATAAAATTTCACGTTGTAAAGCTATCACTGTTTTCTGGGGAACTGAACTCTTTTCCTCTGAGGCTCTGGGTTTGACTCTGCATTTGATCTTTTATGTGAAATGTGCCAGGGCAGTGATGGATTGAAATCTACCCCCAAATCCAAACATATTGGGTGAATATTGCTTAACCTTATAAAGCCAAATGGTAGGCATTTTCCATCACCTGTTTTTATTGGACAAGAGCACCAGATTCATTTAGTTAAACAATTTTTTGATTTTAGTTCAACTATTTTAAAAGAGTAGAATTTCACTGACCTCAACTTAAATATTTAATATATAACTTAAATACCTCAATATTGAAATGCTGCTTTTTATTTTTGCACAGATTGAATACTTTTTACATTTAAAAACTGATCTGCTTTGAAGCTAGAATTACAGATCTTGAAATTAAAAATGTAAATATGTGAAGGATCCAAAACTTTATATCAAGTATTTGGGAAGTGTAGAATGGAAGCTAATTTGCATAAAAGTCACAGAAACTTTTATACTCTTTCTGTAAATACTTGGGAAAAAAATAAAAAACCTATGGATCAGAATAGCCACATCTGGGGACCAGCAGGTGGCATGGTGGTTAAGGTGCTGGACACTCCCATATGGCTGACCACGGTTCAAGTCCTGGACCTGGTGACTTGCTTTCTCACTTTCTCTCTCTCTCTCTCTGGTCAAGTTAAAATATGTGAATGAAATAATAAAGTTAAATAATAAAAAAAAGAACAGCCACATCTGGAACACTTTCTGTTATCAGTCAATGTTTTTAGACAGAACCTCAAGTAGGCTTGATTCTGGAAAATGATGATAGCCTCCAGACAGAAATCTTTTTAAAATTACACTTCTCTGAAGTATTTTGTTCGCGTGGTCACACACTGATGCTTAGGTTCTGTTCCAGAATCTACTTTGGTCACAGTCATCTTGATAACCAACGTCATTTTCCCTCATCTTTAGAAACACACATAGGAACAACCAGACTGAACAGATCTGAAGCCACTGTATATGAATGAGCACTTCCCTTTACTTCACACCTGAATGTTGCACATCTACTTTGATTTGTATATTGTGTTTGTGTATTTATACTTTGATTCTTAGAAACTTCTCATGTTATGCAGTTGATATACATTGAATACAAGCTACAAATAAAGAGAAATCAACAGCTGGGAAAAAATGCTTAAAACAGTGACTGACATTGCTGTTATTATTACTCAATCACTCTTATTTCTCACTGTCCCTCTTTACTTACTCTTCATTACACGGGGTGGGGAAAAGCAAAAAATAAAAATACCTCTGCTTCTAGTATACCTTTGCTTGTGTCCCCAATAATATTCAGCTATTCAACATTTGGGAGCAATAAAACACAGACAAAACACAGTGGCCTGCCTTCAAGAAATGTACAATTAACATGTCATATTAGAACTGGAAAGCACTTACAGGATCAGGCAGAAGCAACTGAATTTCACCAGGAGGAGTCTCAGCTGAAGTTTAAAGAAAGAGGTGATGCTTCGACTGAGGCTTAGATGATGCGGAAAGAGACTGTTTCTAATTTTGAGCAAAACCCTCCTGGCTCTCTTAATAAATAAGCCAAAGCCTAAATGATGCTACTGAAATGGAACAACAAAACCAGCTGATTCACAGAGTGCTGGGATTGTGGACTAGATCTTGGAAGCATCTTAAAGGCAGAAACTGCCTCCTATTGGCCTTTCTGTTCACACACCTCCCTGCCAGACATTCAAACACATATGGCTAAGTGTGTTCCTTTGTCTTGATTTTTCATTTGGCTGTTGGTCCATAGTCATGCATTTTTATAATGTTCTCTGTGAGATAAAGAAATTTTTAATACAATTAAACATGTATAAACATACCAAGCACAAATAAACTACAAAATCAGCAGTTGAATTGATGCAACAGTTAACATTCTTTTTTAAGTTTTAATTTATTTAACTTTATTTGTTCATTTATTTTCATTTGACCAGAAAGAGTCAGAGCAAGAAAGAAAAGAGAGAGAGAGGGAGAGAGAGAAAGTGAGAAAACAAGCCAGTATGTCTGGGACTTGAACCACAGTCGGCCATGTAGGAGTCTAGCACCCTTAACCATCACGCCACCTGCCGTCCCCAGTTTGAACATCCTTTTAACAGTTACGCCAGGTTCTACTGAGATGTAGCCCAGGTGTCAGCTGGGAAAATGACTCAAACTGGCTCAAATTACTTCCAACTCTTACCACTTCTGGGAATCCAAAGCCCTTCTCCACACTTTGAGATTATATTCTTAGAGCTTCCTTCAGTCCCCAGACCCTTATTCACGTGCATGTTGTCTTTCCCCTGCACTATGTTAACTGTGATGTGCATGCATCTCCAAGTTCACTCCTGAAATCCACTCTAGGCGAGGAGGCAGAAGCACAGTGCACTTCACAGAAGAGTTTGGGAACCATGAGGAATAGTTACAAAATGGTCTTCACCAAGTCTTCTGCCACTTGGTGCTACTGGGGCTCAGAAGATGGTACTTCAAAGTGAAAGCTACAGAAGCAGAGTTTCTCTCTGTCCTTCTCCCACACTCCTGCCTCTTACCCTTCATTCTTCTCCAAGGCATGTCTAGAAACCAGAATCCCCAATCTCCAGGTTGAGTCACAGAACAAAAGCCCCTTTCCCCTAAAGCCAGTCATAAAACCTAAAAATATTACTCTACTCCCTCCATCCCCACTTTCTATGCAAGAGTTGGCCATAAGGAAATTCTCTGACCTATAATGTCTGACATTATATAAGACCCTTATACCGGGGCCAGCAGGTGGCATAGTGGTTAAGGCGGTGGGCTCCCATGTGGTTGCTCATGGTTCAAGTACTGGACCTGGTGGCTTGAAACTCATACTGGGCATGTGTGCACGTGTGCCTAAGAAGAGAGTGGAGGAGAGGGAATGCAGCATGGCCATCCCTCCTAGAGGGTGAGTTCTCATTTTCTGCCTCTCTGTCTCTCTGGTGAGCTCACATGACCTGTAGCAAAAATCTCTCCAAAATAAATAAATAAATAAGACCTGTATCCCAGATCGGTCATGCTCCATTTATGGGAGCTAGGAATGCTGCACAGAAAGGCCAAGAAAAATCTTCACAGGCCTTGCTACATTTCTCCTCTCAAGCTATCTCTGTTGGCTCAAAGCCTTTCTGTCCAATCACATTTCTATATGAATATTCCTGCTTCATCAAACCCAGGCACAAAAGCAGAGAGCTTCCCTTATGTCATTGGGTCTTCAACTGAAGGCTTCCACATGTATATATGTTTACATTAAGTAACTCTGTAAGCCCGTTATTCATCTGTTTACTGTCAGAGATTTTTGGTAAACCTCAGAGGGCAGGCAGATTCCTTTGCTCCAACAATGCTCTGTCCCTCCCTCCTCCACCTTCCCACTCTTTCTCATATAGGTATCCTCCTCACCATCTGCACAGATGGCTGCTGATTCACACAGAGCAGCCCTACCAGCAGCCGGCCCTTTGGGGTCTCATTTTCTTCCTCAAGTACTCATCAAGGTGTTTTCACCAACATTATTTTCTTCAAAAAGCAAATTCTGATGCCAGATGTTCCGACAGTGGTGTCTTAGTTTTTCCCACCTCCTAACACTTACATGTAAGAGGAGGGGCTGGCACCAGCAGAGCAGCAGCTGTACCAGGCAGGTGCAGCAACAGCGATGGTACCAGCTGGTACCAGGACACGTCACGTGATCTCAGGCTTAAGATGCTCCTGAGCATGCAAGACACCGCCAAGGGCAGAAGGGAGATATGCAAAAGGCTGGAGTTCTAAAGAGCAGAGGGGAGTAAGGACCAGCAAAATAAAAATTATTAATGCCAAAGAGACCCATAGAGCCTTGGGAAATAGGGGCTTTAAGTAAAAACTCCAAAAAATGAAAAAAATTATCACCTTAACAAGGAAAGGTCTAGCCCCATAGAAATTTTTTTACTAATCTAAAAGTAAATGTTGAATACTTAAGAGGAATAACTATTATTCAGATAACTTCTATATGGTAGTTCATAAAGAATGATTCTGGTGAAAGAACAGATTTTTATTTGCAGCATGTAAAAGAATGTCAATTTTAAAACTGTTACCCATGGCAGAAAAAAAACCAAAATCCCTAATGGCTTAATTTTATATAGTTTTTCCTTAAGATATGAAGCCCTGAAAAGGCACAGAAGTCCTTGAAACAAATAAATTTATTCTCCCAATCACTCTATCAAGTAGACACAGATATCCAGTATTATACCCATTAGGTAAGTAAATATTTGGTAATTCCAACTTATTCTTAGTCTAGAAGATTCTTGGCATCCTGATCTACTCCAGGGTGTGGCAAAGGGTTTCTCTTTGGTCAGAACTTCCTGATGCCCTCCTCAGAGACCAGAACTTGTTCAAATCCCTGGCACACCCTTGGCCTGTCTCAGTCTAAGAACCAAACT